AGGGAGCCCGGCCCCCTGCGGGTCCCGTCCCGGGAGCTCCGTCCCCCCCGACCCCGAGCAGGGTCCCGTCCCGGGAGCTCCGTCCCTCCCGTCCCCGCTCCCGGTGTCCCCCGACACGGTTGTTCAGTGGAGCGGGAGAGCAAGCGCTTTCCATGGACAGCTCGTTCATGCGAGGCGGGATTTGGGAAGAAGCAAAGGAGCGGAGCTCGGTGTCCAAAGCCTCCCCGCGCCGGTGCCTTGGTGCATTGTGCCTGAAATTGCACCTGGTCCCTAGTTTGCTACTCCAGGGGCTTGCGTGGTGCTAGAGAGTCTAAAAACTCGCGTTGTTGCAAGGTTTGGTGGCCTCTTTGGGGGCAGATGCGTTAGCCATTGTGAGGCTGTTGGAGGTACGGCTACCAGTATACATTTATATGTATACTTTTTTTTTTTTTTTCTCCTGTGAGCTCTTTACAAACAGCAGTTCTTTTTTCTCTTTTTTTTTCTTTTTTTTCCCCACAAAGGTAAAAATAACAGCATTTTGAAAATTCTTACTGCTATTTTGGATTTTTCTTTTAATCGATATATGCCCTACCAAATTGCAAAATGTGTAAGTGGAGGGAAAGCTCAACACATTTATAATGAACTGACTGGAGGAAGTGACTCGGTTTGGATTGGGTATTTCCCAGAGGAGTTTGCAGACTTCAGTAGTAGCAGTGGAGAGGGAAATGGGATTTCTGAAAGAATTAGAGCTTGAGCTTGTTTTTTCTTGTCAGCACTGGAACAGAAGCAAAGTTTATGAACAGCCTAAGCACAGCACACCTGCGCTGCTGCAGTCCTCCAGCTTGTGGTAGTCTGTTATGAGTGATACTGCCTGTGACATAGAAGTTGTAATAGTTTCACTGCACTGAAAGCTGCAAATTATGAGTTAGGTAATGATGAATCTTGCACATAAATAACTGTTCCCTGCCGCATTGCTGCTTTTTCCAGATGCACCTAAAATTTGTATTCCTTCCTGTGTGGAAGGAGACCTACAAGTAACGGCAGATTGAACAAGGGGTGGCTATGAAAGCAACGAGATTAAAAAAAGACCTCCAGAACCTTTTATTTAGACAAGCAGCAGGGGGAGCACATGTATAAGATATGTCCCCTGATATTGCTTGATTTTAACATCGAGTCTGCAAATCCGATTTAAGTCTTGGCATACTGTGATTTGGTCCATCCCAAATTAACAAACTTGAAGCTGGTATCCCAAATCATAGCATTGTCCTAAAAATATGAAATTAAAACCAACCAACCTTTGGATCCTTTTGTCAAGAATGCCTATTTGCTTGGCAGTCTTGCATGCTTTGTGAATTTTTTGTTTTGTTTTTTAAGTTTTCTTTTTTAAGAGAACCATGATACTCTTGCTCCTCTCCCAGCCCAAGGAAGTTTCAGCACTCTGTATTTGCAAATGCTGGTTCTGTGGTTTTGGTTTTTAATCTTATATGCTGTAGAAAGCTTAGGTCTCTTAATTGTGCCCCTCTGTTTTACTTCACACTGAGATTTGCCCCATTTGCTGCGTAGAATTTGGGTGAATACAGCAACATTTGTAAGTACTATAATTTTGCGTAATACTTTCTATTTTACTGCTTTGCTACTTTTGTGTGGACACACAATTTCATCTTTTCCTCCTTCCCAACAGAATTACCACCTGTACTGGGAAGCAGTGGAAGAAAATGTTACATTTAGAATTATTCAAAATTAATAATAAGAAAAATAAAAAGTCTCAGATTACTCCTTGTAGATTGAGGCCAAACCTGCTTCTACGGTGAATTCCATCCTCTGGCAAAACCAAAACCAGGAGTTAGAAGATTAGCATGAAAGAAGTGGCTGATCTGAATGCAGACTGTGCAAATAGTGTGTTTATTGTAATGTTAAGCAACATATAAAATTTTTACCCAGGGTAATGGAACAGTACTTTTTTTTTTTTTTTTTTTTTTTTTTTTTTTTTTAGCGGAATACTAAGCAGCTAAGTCTGTAAAGCTGAACAGACCTGAGATTCTAGTGTCTTTTAAACACTTTTAAGCTCCGGGAAGCTTCCTGGAGACTCAGTATCCTGAGAATGTTAATATTAGGAGGAGCAGTGGATCACAGTATTGGCCCCCTATGAACATTTTAATCAATGTGATGGCTGACAGTGAAGTGAAAAGATAAAACAGCTGGGATGGATATGACTAATATGTTCCACCTGCAACACTGCAAGAACAGACTGATGTTAGTTGTTTTACTGTGATTGCAAGAGAAGTATCCTGATCATTATCTGCAATGGCAGAAAACTTCCATCACTCTCAAAATTTAGCTCCTGTATTTGATTTAGGTTTTGCAAGATGGAAATTTCTGTGAAGACTTAATTGCCATTGCATTCTTCTCTACTCTTGCTTATAACAGGCCTGATAAGGGAGTTGCTTCCCTGGCCTTAACATAAGGAAGTCCAAAATGTAAAACAAACTCAGCGCATGGCAATGATTAACTTTCCCTCCCATATTTTGCCTGTCTATGAATTATTAAATACGGGTTTAGTTCTACAGACTTGTTAGTATGGAAGAAGTTTGGAGTGCAACTTTCAAACAGGGCAGTAAACAGATGCTTCACTTTCCAACCTGAAGAACAGGTTCTGCTCATACAAAAGGAGCTCGACGTCTGCCCAGGACTGTTACCACCCTCTGATTCCCTTTGCCTCCTCCCACTTTGAACTTGTTACCCTGGAGCTGAACTGTTTGAACAAGGACTGTAAGAGTTGCTTTGTGATTAGGGAGCTGAGAGCCATTAACATGTAAAGTGCAGGGGAGGAGCCTTCACGGGCAGATTTTGCACCCCCTTTTTTTTTGTCGTGCTGACGAAGTTCCCGATGCACCGTGCAAAGCAGCCAGGATGGATCGGCGGTGGCGTCCAGGGAGAAGAAACAAAGGTGTGTTTTGTATTTGCTGCCTTTCCTTTCTGGAATCTTTCTCGTGTGCATTTGACACCTTCGCTCACTCTTAGAAGTTAGAAATGTGTTTTATACTGTGTTAACACTGGAATATATGTAACTTTACGATTGCAACAGAATTTGTTGCTGCTACTTCTCTCTTTCCCAAGGAGGAGAGGATGGAAAGTGGATAATGCCTAATGCTTGCTTTATTTTGGTCATGCTGTTTCTTGTTCAGGAAAACAGATATCCCTTTGGAATGCTGTAAGCCCTTAATTTTTACACTTTCTGAGCTTGTAGGGATCAAAGGAACCAAATTTATGATGTAACAGTTTAGACCTTGTTTCTAACTGGACAACTGCTTTCTTCAGCACAAGTCGACCACATTTGAAATAAGCTGAGCATTGAGCTTCTGCAGGTAAATTGTTAGCCAAAACCAAAATTGTCTTGAATAAGAGAGGTTGTCTTTTAAAATAAACATAATATATTTAAATAAACTACCAGTTAAAAGTAAGCAAAATAACCTGGCCGATTCAGTGACTGAACAGTTGGTAAGTCTTCTCTTGGAAGGAAAGGCACCTTTTGAAAGGGTTATTTGTTTGTTGTTTTGGGCTGCGGAAAAGGATTTTTCAGTTCTTTTCTGGCATAAAAATGTGAGCTAGGATTCCAGAGATAAGGCAAATGATAGGCATAGCCGAATTGTGCTGCCTGTGCTTTAAATGCCTCCAGCTCCAGAGCTCAAATGCAGGTCTTGAACACAGCCAAAATACTGAGGGCGATAAGTTCTAGAGTCGTGTTTTGTTTCATGGCAGATGTAACTTCAGCTCCTGAAAGATGAAAGAAACGGAGATTAAGATTTGCTGCAGCCTCTTGAAAGTTTTTGGTAGGAGATTTATGCTATCTTCAGAATCTATGTCAAAGTTAGATTATTTTGTTGTTGTTTTAAAGAAAGTGGTCAAAGTTTTGTATATTAAGAGATTTCCTCTCCTCATTGAGGAAGAAAACTTTAGCTGTGGAAATTTTTATTTTGCCTAGTAAGATTAGGGATGAAGAGCTACTTATTTCAGATAAAGGACAGGATGATTATGTTGGTAAGAGCAGCCACTGTAATGCATCTTATTTTGCTGCTTTAACCCAAGGAATCTGACCATCTGTTTGTGATGTCGGGAGAATTTTAATCTGAGGATTTTATTAGTGTGTCTAATCATAGTTGTTAGTCCTGAAAAGTTTTGTTTTGTTTTTGTCTTCTGCTTGTTCTTGCAAATCTTGGTGGAGATTTTCACATTATGGGACCACAGATCTAGAGCTGCAGACTACATGGAGCTTTTAATGCGTGTTTTGTCCTTGGTAAGTAACAGACTTAGAATGTCTTGCATGTAAGCTTGTGTGAAACCCATAAAATAGATTACCTATGGATCAATGCACATTTTTTAGTCTTTTTTTTTGTTTTGTGTGTTTTTTCCTTCCTGGTTTTGAAAACATAATAAAAACTCATGGCCAGAGTCTTTCTCCATTATATGAAAAGCTTTTTTTATTATTTTTATTTTTATTTTTTTTATTTCTCCCTCATTTTCTATTTATGATTTCTGTAGACAATGCTGAATTAAAGTTCCTCCATACTCATCCTAAAAAATCTAAGAGATCATCTAAGCGCATATTGCTGCCAGGAGTCTTCCCACTATAGGAACTTGTAGATAGCATTCACAAAGCCTAAAGGCCTGTAGAGGTGAGAGACTGAAATAACTTTTTTTTTTTTTAATTGTAAAAGGATCTTTTTTTTACTTTTTTCTAGGAATAAAAAGGACTGAGAGTATGGTTTCTTAAGTTCTGTAGTCACAGTTTCAGAGCACCACAAAGGTACTTTTCTTTCAATTTAATATTAGAATTATATTTCATTGCCTGCAGTTTGTTTTAAAATGTACAAACACTCTTTTCCTAAATATAATTGAAAGTGGGGCACTTATTTGTGAATGCCACTGGAAGTTGTTCGTTAGTCCTGTCAATTCACCTGGAGCTAAGGAAACAGCTGCATAAGGACTTCTGAGTGGGTAATAGGATGTGGCTGAAGAGCCTTTCTGGAGAGCCTCTCTGAGGAGGATCACCTGAATTGACAACACATTTCTCACCCTGCAGGAAGACATCCAGCTTATTACTGTGGAGACAGGTGGATAAAAAAGCCTCTTAGATCCTTATGTATCCTTAAGAACGATATTTGATTTCTTCTAAGCAGGCTTTGTGGGTATCTGAATTCGTTTTCAGTCTTTCATGAAAGATAATTCTGGTTTGAACTGTGCCTTCTAACCTCATCAGCCTATCAATACCCTGTCTAAGAAAGATGCACTAATGCGAACTGGTGCCCGTGGTGCGTTAATGAGCTGTGCAGGGCAAAGGTTGTGCTTGGTTGTATTGTTATAAACTTAGAACAACTTCTGTCTGGGGTGCAGGATGGACCTTGTGGTTGTTGTTTAGTCTTGGTAGTAGCTTTTTGATGTGTATGTTGGGCAATCCTAAATTGAGTGGAACAGTATTCCTGTACACTAGGAGAAAATAAACCAGATCAGGTTTTGTAGCTTGGTGCATTTTGTCAGGGTCTAACTAGAAAGAAATGTAAGACAAGATGCCATGATGTGCACTGGAAGTCTCTTACCTTCTTCCAGTAAGACGCTGCTCATTCTGCAAAGGGCCTGCGCATGTCATATTAATTGTGTTTCAGTGACAAAGTTATTTAATAGGTTACAGATTTTTTTGCTTTGGTTCTACGTAGAGAATGAACTTTGCCCCTGCGCACTTTGTTTCCATAGGTAAAATAAAGCACAGTTGCTCCTCCTTGTAATTCCAGCAGTTGTTATAACCGAAGTCATCTGCTTCTCCTGAGCATCTGTATGTTTATCAACAGTCACCTCACCCCAAATTCTCATTGCGTTGTTTACCACTCCCTCTCAAAGATCTTTTTATAAAAGAAAATCGTTGCAGTCTGGAAGCTTGTAAGGCTGTAATTTTGCAGCATTATAGCTGTGAACAGTTTGTTCTTTCTATAGTGAGGCTAGACATAATAAATAGCTATTTGAGGAAGCAGAGAACCTTCTGTTTAAAGGATAGGATCATCTGATTCAAACTCATTTGTATTCTAGTGGTAGAAAAAATAGGGTAAAAGAAAATGTTATGAAGTTTATTTAATGCCAGGTAAACAGATTTTTTCCCCCGTCTTTGCTAGAAATCATTATAATTTAGATTGAGCAAAGCTTTAGTGTGTAGTTGGCAGTGAACTCTCTTGCCATTTGATGATAGTCTTTGGTCAAATTTATTGAGATGGATGTACTGTCACTTCTGTGAGCAAATGGCCATTGTATTTGCACAAAAGAAAGTAATTTTAGGAGATCAACCTTAAGGAAAGAAGTGAAAGATGAACCTTAGAGTTAAAAGTTGACGTGCTGATGGCATTGGTGATTAGGGATTTGTGTAAGGAGATAAGTGAAAAAGGCAGATCTGTCATGTTTTTTTTTTCCCAGTAGTCTTTAGTTACAAGATTTCTCAGTTGAATGATCCTATATTTTCAGTGATTTGGGATGGTAAGTGTGAAAGAGTTGGCTGTCCTGCTTTTGCTGTTTATAATAGGACCCATAGATTCCATAAATAGATTTAAATTAATCTTGTTTTACTATTGAAATACTTATTCCAAAGTTCAGCCTGAATTTTCTTTAATTCCACCATCCTGGCCTTACTTGTGATTTTACCTCTGCTTCCGCTGCAACTCGTGCCTTTTCACTAGGACATGCTTCACGGCACATAAATTGTTACCTTTTCGCCTCATGATAAACTAACAAAATATTTTTTCTGCCCCACTCTCCCTGTTCCTCTCCCTTTGCTCGGCATCTGGTTCTTTTAAGAACCCTAGGGGAAAAGCTGGCTGTTCACCACTCCTTTGCAAAAGGCGAACACGTGTTGTCACCTCCTTTCTACCCCCCACAGATAAATTATACCTTAATACCTAAGAGATTGAGCAGTGTAGCAGTAAACTGGTGTACAGAGCTAAAGAACCTTGAATAAAGACCAGATGCTGTTCTTAAAGTAAACTTCTTTCTTAGATGAAGTTGTAAAAGTCTTTGCTGGGCTTCTGGAGAGTGGCCACACTGCTAATGTAACTAGTAATACTGTCATAGGTCTCTTGAATACAAAAGGTAGCAGAACCCACAATCTGCTTATCCTCTTTAATGTGACTCACTAATTCCCACTACAGAAAAAGCTTCATTTTCCCTACTGTGGTCGCTTCCTGCCTGTCCCTGCATTGGAAACCTAAAAGACTAACAAGGAAATATTTCTCTTTTCAGTGTTCCTCTCTGAGTGTTTTTTTTTTTTTTTGCTTTCATTATATAGCATGCGACTTGCAGTTTTGAAGCAGTTCTGAGCCAACCTAGTGCATGAGACTTAGATCTTGGCAAATTAATTAGTTCCCTTTGCTGCTCTTCTAACATGAATTTCCCACTCTGTCTTCCTAATTACAAATGTAGATAGTCCCTGGGAAGCAGGAAGCTGCTGTGCGCTTATTTCCATATCATTGCAAATTTGAGATAGATCTGGGAAATAGCTATTGACAAGTAAAGATTATGAAACAAAGGTTTTTGGCAGGGAAAGGGATTAAAAATAAGTCTCTCTCTTCCATAACTTACACAAAGTGCTGCAATTTTTAATTTAGTTTTGTAAAGTAAATGGTGAAGTTGTGTAGTCTAGTTAATGGAAGTCTGCAATAAAGATTCTTGGGATTAAATAATAACTCCCCTTATTTGTGAAAGAAATATCCAGTTACATCATTCAGCAAGAATGCAGAGCTCTCCTACAGAATGTGCAGCTCTAATTGCTGTGAGGGAGAAAAGCTGACAAATGTTAAGTGTTCCCTTTATGTGGGATGGCTCTTTTAGGTATTAGTGCATCAAGCTATCCAAAAGATGTTCCAATGTCCTTTTTTTGCAGTTGTCTTCTCACTGCTCCTCCTTCGAATGTTTTTTGTTTGTTTGTTTGCCAGAGAACACGATCTGATGCCAGTTTGTTCTGTGCATGCCCTGTCCTTAGGGAAAAGGAATGTTGTATCACGCCCTAAGGTGTAGGCTTAGCCCCTTGATCTGCAGTACAGAAACAGACTGCTCTCTTTTTGCTTTGGATGTGAAATAACTTGCCTGGGCGTGCAAGTTATCTTAAATGGAATTGCTCTGTGAATGAAGTTGCATTCTTTAAAATGAACAGCACATCTTGGTGAACTGTAGCAGAGCTTAATAGCAATCCCGAGTCTCAGATGTGAATACTTTAAAGTATTTTTCTCCTGTTTGATAACATATTTTGATCTTTTATCTCACTGATCTACTTCCTGATCAAACTTTTCAGACTGAACTGATAACTTGGGTATTTTACATTTCATCCAGTGTGTTAGTATATTTATTCTGCAAGGATTACAGAGCTTCTCAACACCAGTGGCTACTGTTTGGTTCCTTTCTCAACACAAAAGACTGTCTTTTGACTTAAATTTTAAATGCTTCAGTGCCATAAAAATGGCTAAAAGCTTAGTAATAGGATAACTCTTTGCCTCCAAGAGATATCTATCCTGCTCTTGGGCTTTATATGCTGTTGTGTAAGGGAATATGGAACATGACACATTACTTGGATATGGCTCTTAACATATACTGTCAGTTTAAATCTTGTTCGTGTGGTCTGACTAGGTATCGTTCCCCTCTCGTGGCTTTTGTCAACGAGCAGTGCTGCTCTCTGAAGCCAGGCTGCTCGCTGGTGTAACGGAGACTAAATGTTGTCAGAGATTATAGTGTTTTATTCATGCAATCTTCACAAGGAAAACTTCCCTGGAAGTCAAAAGAGCTTTTTTTCATTTATCTTCATAGGAAGTCTGGCCTTTAAATCTTCTTTTGAGACACCCATTTGCATTGAGCTTTTTAAAGATGAATTGTGTGTCTTTCTATTGGCTGCCTAGGATTTAGGACCTTGGGGCAGGGACAAGAAGCCTTTTGTGACTGTACAGGCAGTTCAGAGAGCATTTTTGCTTGAAGCCAGAGGATGTTTAGGTGAAACTAAAGAGCGTGAATATGAGATGTCTCAGAATAACAAAATATTCGACGAGCCACAACCTTGTCTAATGTAAAGTATGACACTTCCATTGCTCATTTGAAATGATGCCAGTTTATCCTAGCGTGACCATCTGTGCCATTAAGTCTTCCTCGCTCTGCTGGCCGTGCTCTTTGGTGCACGGTGAGTCACAGTGACTGAACTTCCTGCAGAGGAAATGATCTCTCAAACAAGCTCTAAAGCAAAGAGGTGATAGACTTTGAAATAACTGCCAAGCAGTTCTGCTTTCTGAAAAAAATGGACAGATTTTGACTCAGTATTAAATAGTTTCATCCATTTTATGAGCTGCGGTTTCCTGGATTAATCTCAAGGTTAAACGTTTACTAGAGGTGTACCACAGAAATGGTGCTTTGTGGCTAGTGGAAATAAAACTGTGGTTAGGAGGAGAAGTTGCCCAAATAAGAAGCAGCCAGATAACTTGCCTGCTCTGAGACATTGCCTGTCCTCTGTGGAAGTATAAATTCCAGGCGTGATGGGAAAATAGGAGAGAGAAGGGATGCAGTGGGGACAGGAGGGGATAGGGACACAGTTATATGTTAAGGTCTTTCCTCAGCTATTCTCGCTCACTCTCAGCGTATTTACTATCTTCAACAAAAAGGTTGCATAAATGCAAAATACAAACAATGTATGGGAATAGTAGGCCAGCAAATGCAATGATGCAGTGGTTTAGTCTGAAAATGCTGTTCACTCTCTCCAAGAGCCACTGCTTCACGTGCTCTAATGGCATCCCAGCTGGGTAAGGTGATGCTGTCGGAGGAACTGCCTAACTCCTGTCTGTGGACTTGATTCTTTGCCTCGCTCAGAGGTTAGCAGACAGCTCACAAGGAATGGGGAGTGGTGGAAAAAACAATACTCGGGAGAAGACAATTTCCTAAAGAAACTGAGTGAGGGACCAGAGAAAAGGAGAGAGATACAACTTCAGTCTGACAGATGCTGTGACAAGGACATCTCTTGAGCCATTTTTGCTACAAAGGTTCTCACCCAACTCTGTTTTTACTTCCTTTAATAATAATACCTCATTGCCCTCTCTCTCTCTCAAAATAATGTCAAACTGGATCTGTGCTTTCACAACAAAACATGTTAGGACAGTGTTTCAGAGCTCAGCTTGTAATTACAAACTGAAGGAGACTCCCATAGATTCAGTTACCAGCATCAGGTAAGATCCAAGGTTTCTGCCTGGTCTCATGGCTGTTTTGAAGTGAGCCTTTGACCTCCTTCTTCTGAAGAAGGTATCCAGCCATCCGCGCGCGGCGGGAAGGTGAGTCTTGCTGCAGCCAGCAGAGAAGAGATAGGTAGAAAATGGAGAGGAGGATGCCAGATGGTAACGAAGAGTTACAAGTGTGTAGGTGGAGGGAAAATATGTGAAAAGTGAGAAACAGCACTGAATGAACAAATCCTCATTACAGCAAATAGCTCTCAAAGCTGTCTTTTGTCTAGATACCTGGGTATAAGCAGCTGCTGAAGTCAGTGCATTCAACTAGCTATGTTGCTGTGGTAATTTTTATATAATAAACACAAATTACATTATTTAAATGTTGTCTTCCCT